TCATACTGATTCTTTTCTCTATTGATGTGGGTATATGCTTTATTATAGATGGAGGGTGGTTTGACTTAGGGTGTACATACAGGGGATTAGTGTTAGGTTTTCTGAAAGTTAGGTGAACGTTGTTCGTTAAGTCTAGGGTTACGTCTAGGATGTTTAATCTTTTTAATTTAGTGTTGACTATTGTTTTTAAATTTAGTTTTCCGAATTCATTATAAATTATCTTTCTAATTTTCTCTGTTTTAAAATTTGTGGAGCGTCTCACTACCATGAACCCGTCATCTCTGTATAGCCCGATGTCCCTAATATCTAGTTCACGGTGGGCGGTTAGATTGTACAGTATAAATATTCAGAGCAATGTATTAAATACACTACATAAATAAGCGTTTTATGTAGATTTTTTTCGTAACATCTGTTAAATTTAATAACATTATCGTTGAACGTAGAAAGAAATTCACAATATTGATAAATATTTTTTTAATACAATCTACGCTTTCGGCTTACTTAAGCCATTATCAAATATGTCAATTACAACATATTAAACAATATACGGACACAGACAGTGATGAATATATATATATATATATATATATATATATATATATATATATATATATATATATATATATATACCCATTTCAGTAAATAATATAGAAAAGTTTTGTCTATTCATTTTATGTAAATCCTTTCATATCGCCTGATAAGCTTAATAACATTATCATTGAAAGACGAAAGAAAATCACCATATTTTTTCGTCCTATCTAAGCATTCGTCTTACATAAGGCATCATCAAAGTTGACAATTACATCACAATATATTAAACAATACACAGACATAAAAATAATGATAGTCTGTTTTTGTTTGCATAGAAGATTTCCAAACGACGACAAATTCGTGCATACGAAACGCTGGAAGCGAGATTCGCACCGCGGTTCATGACATCGCACATGACCACACGAGAGTGAAAACGAGAAGTGTTAAGTATAGGAAGCCGTTGGTATAAAACAGTGGCTTCTGTAATCAATTATTGGCATTATATATATTTGTGGCGTTTTCATAGTTTATTTTGTTCAGGTTAGGTTTCAACTGCTCTTTGGTTTTATTTATTGTTTTCATGTTTAAGTATAGTTGTGTTTTCAACAAGGATTTTCCGGAATTGTGTATGCGGCCAGTAATCTTGTTTTAAATACCTAATATTTTAGAGTTATTCAAATAGTCGTGAAAGCGAGTTTGTTGTGTGACCAACATAATGCTGCCTAAATACACACACACACACACACATATATATATATATATATGTGTGTGTGTGTGTGTGTGTGTGTGTGTGTGTGTGTGTGTGTGTGTGTGTGTGCACGTTTTCATGCTACCTTATCTCTTGCCAGGATATTTTGGTAAATGTCCACTTGATTTCTGTTGTCTTGTTTTTTTTCTTTTTGTTTTTTTTTAATTCTATGTACACCTTCCGATAATCTGGCTGTTGCCAATATGCCTGAGAGTCCAGTCTGACCTGTTATTTACATCATAGATAGAGAGACAAATGATGGATTCATGCCTTTCCCAAAGGCAATAGCTAGCGCAACATTTTAAGCAAGATTTCCTGTTGGACAACTATTACCTTACTTCAAGCACGGTATTAATTTTTTATATTTTGGTATACTTAACTAATCTGCATAATTATAAGGACAGACTTCTATTGTTCCGTGTCCACAACATGTTTTCTTTGCCTAGCCTTTCCGAAGAGGCAGTTGGAAGCGGATAGGTTCGCTTACCGTCCGGTTCACACCCCCTGTCTTTTGAACAGGATTAAAGGTTTATCCCCTGTTTCCTGTTGTTGGCTTGAGTTTCTGGTTTTATCTAAATTCTTTCATTCTTTTATGTTTTCTCAATCACATCTTGACCTCTTCAACCTCTAGAGTTAGCCATCTTTCTTGAATAGCCCTCAAATGTTCACTTCTTGCTCTTTCTCACGCTAATACAACGCCACTCAGTAGCCCTTTACCTTGGGTGAACATATAAAAAGAAAGAAGATATGCAATATCTCCATAGTCTATCTCTACAAGAGACAGACCAAACCGAAAATCGAACATTGTTCCCACATCCCGGTCGGAACGTCCCAAATTATCACCTTCTGACCTCGACCCAGTTTAATGGCTTTTATGCGGCCTTGTGTGTGAAAAATGGTTTCCCACACGAGAACCTCTTTCTTCGTAAACGAAAACGTTTCTAGCCTCTCGCCTCTATTTCGATGGGCGAACGACATTACTTGGTTCCATTAGTTCAGATATTCACAGCGAGGACCCACCATCATTCGTACACTGATTCGACTCATTATCCATCCATATATTTCACTATTAAAGGGTAAGTTCATCACCTTCTTTCCAAATATTGCTGCAACGTTAAACGCAGTCTCGAAAGCATGCTTCCTGACACTACAATCTTAACATCTTCAAGTCGAGTATCAACCATTATATTCTCTACACGACCTTATATCATCACCATTCTACATAGAGTGGCTCCTAGGCTAAGTACTGGTTGAACAATAGTAAAAAAAAATGATAGTGTTAGTAATATTTTGAATTCGGTTTACCGATACCAGATTTGTGCTTCTAACCATTTGGCTAGGTCCATTGATGTTTTTGGCAATAAATAATATATTTATAGAGAGGATTTCTGGTTTATCCGGTTTTGTGTACAAAGATGTCTTTTTGGCAATTCGGTCGGAAATAACAGTTCTGGCCCTAAATTGACAGTAGAAACCTTTAGTGACCTCAAGGTTTAGAAATCGTCAGTTTTATGATCATTAACCTTATTGTATTGCTCTCGCAAGTTAAGCTTTCGACTATTCCTGTGTGACTATGTAAAAAAGAAAGAAGTAGGAATTAAATAAAGAAAGGAAGAAAGAAAGAAAGAAAGAAAGAAAGAAAGAAAGAAAGGAAGAACGTGTATATTGGCTGAATAAAATAAAGAAAGAAAGAAAGAAAGAAAGAAAGAAAGAAATAAAGAAAGAAAGAAAGAATAGATTGGGTGAACGAAGAAAAGAGGAGGTATATATATTCTGAACGAATGAGCGCGGTAAAGAAAAGAAGAAAAAAGAAAGAAAGAAAGTGTATATTTGTGGAATAGAAAAAAGAAAGAAAGAACGATGGGTGAACGATGAAAAGAGGAGGAATATATTGTCTGAACGAATGAGAAAGAAAGAAAGAAAGAAAGAAAGAAAGAAAGAAAGAAAGAAAGAAAAGAAAGAAAAGAAAGAGAGAAAGAAAGAAAGAATACATTTGGTGAACGATGAAAAGAGGAGGAATATATTGTCTGAACGAATGAGAAAGAAAGAAAGAAAGAAAGAAAGAAAGAAAGAAAGAAAGAAAGAAAGAAAGAAAGAAAAAAAAAAAAGAAAGAAAGAAAGAAAGAGATAAAATACATTGGATGAACGAAGAAAAAAGGAGATATATATTGTCTGAACGAATGAGCGCGTGAAATAAAAGAAGAAAAAAGATAGCAAGAAAGATAGTGTATATTTGCTGAAAGAAAGAAAGAAAAAAAAAGAAAGAAAGAAATAAATAAAGAAAGAAAGAAAGAATACATTGGCTGAACGAAGAAAAGAGGAGGAATATATTGGCTGAACCAATGAGCGGGTGAAAGAAAGAAAAATAAAAGAAGAAAGAAAGAAAGAAAGAAAGAAAGAAAGAAAGAAAGAAAGAAATGTCATATTGCCTGAACGAAGAAGTTTTAGAAGGAAAGTTTATATTCCCTGAACGAAAGAGATTGAGAAAATTTATGCTGCCTGAACGAAGGATAATGTAAAAGAAAGAAAGCGTATATTGCTAAATGAAGGAGAATAAGAAAGAAAAATAAAGTTTATATTTCCTGAATGAAAGAGAATCTGAAGGAATGAAAGTGTATATTTCCTGAACGAAGGAGATTGAGAAAGAAAGAAAGAAATTGTATATTGCCTGAACAAAGTGAAATGAAAAAAAAAAAGAATGAAAGAAATTGTACATTGATTAAACGAAGTGAAATGAGAAAGAAAGTGAATATTACATGACGCAAGTAGCATCTGAAAGATAGAAAGAAAGGATGAAAAATAAGTATAAAAGGGAAAAATGAAAAATCAAATTGTCCCAGAAAAGGGAAAAACCTGAAATATAGTAAAAAGGAAAGAAAATTAGATATTAAGATTATATTTTACCAAATTGTTCATTTTTTTATTTAAATGAGGTAATTTTTCTTTTTAAATGGAGTTCATCGTAAGCATAGCAGTAAAGCAAGTAAGATATAAAGGGTTACTGGATGTAGTTATTTATCCAAGCGTAGCTTAGATGTGGCACGGAGCCGAAAGTATGGGTCCCCCAATCAGAATCGAACTCTCTACCCAGGAATAATTGATCTAGCGAGGCAAGTTTGCTAACCGTTACACCACGTCGAGGTGCCTCAAATGGTTACCGGATGTAGTCGAGTTAGAAACAGAAACATTACTACAGATCGAGACCAAAAGTCGGAGAGTAGAAAGCGATTGGCATTGCATTTTTTGCACATTAAAGTTGACTGGAAAACATGGAACCGGAAGGAAGTTCCACAAATGAGAAGAACGAGAAAAGAAACTTTTAACATCGAATTTAGGGGTACATCTTGCTAGCTCTGCTGAAAATTGATGATGCTAGACTTAAATAAAAAAAAAAAAAGTCTAGATATCTGACAGATATATATTTGTCAAAATACAAAATGTGGCACAAGGCCAAAAAGTGGGAATGGGGAAAAGAACGGTCTTCATCTGTCTTAACATTGAAATTAGCTAGTCACAAATACTAACCCCAAAATACCAAAACATTCCTAAAACCAAAACAACGTATTCTTAATTAAGTTTCTTACTATATGCACCATGTCTCATTATCTCTATTAAAGTCCTAAGTATTCCCCATATGTACAATTTATTTTCGGGTGTCTGGGTAATGAAACAACGATTTAAAAAATCGAACCACAATGAATATTTACAAAAATGAACAAAACTATTCACAAGAAAGAAAGTGTATATTGGCTAAATAGAAGAAAGAAAGAAAGAAAGAAAGAAAGAAAGAAAGAAAGAAAGAAAGAAAGAAAGAAAGTATATTTGATGAATGGAAAAAAGAAAGAAAGAATATATTAGGTGAACGAAGAAAAAAGGGTGAATATATTGGCTGAACGAATGAGCGCAGGAAAGAAAGAAAGAAAGAAAGAAAGAAAGAAAGAAAGAAAGAAAGAAAGAGTACATTGGATGAACGAAGAAAGAGGAGGTATATATTGGCTGAACGAATGAATGAAAGAAAATAAAGAAAGAAAGAAAGAAAGAAAGAAAGAAAGAAAGAAAGGAAGAACGTGTATATTGGCTGAATGGAAAAAAGAAAGAAAGAATACATTAGGTGAAAGAAGAAAAGAGGGTGAATATATTGGCTGAAAGAATGAGCGCGGGAAAGAAAGAAAGAAAGAAAGAAAGAAAGAAAGAAAGAAAGAAAGAAAGAAAGAAGGAAAGAAAGTTCCTGAACGAAGGAGATTGAGAAAGGAACCTTATAATGCCTGTACGAAGGAGAATGTAAAAGAAAGAAAGCGTTTATTGCTGAATGATGGAGAATAAGAAAGAAAAATAAAGATTTTATTTCGTGTACGGAGAAGAATGTGAAGGAATGATAGTGTATATTTGCTGAACGAAAGAGATTGTAAATATAAGAAAAAAAGTGTATATTGCCTGAATGAAGGAGATTGAGAAAGAAAGAAAGAAAGAAAGAAAAATTGTATATTGCTGAATGAAGTGAGATGAGAAAAAAAGAAAGAAATTTTATATTGCTTGAACAAAGTGAACTGAGAAAAAAGAAAGAAAAAAGAAATTGTACATTCCTTGAACGAAGTGAAATGAGAAAAAAAAAAAATAGAAATTTAAAAATCTAACCCTAATGAATATTTAAAAAAAATGAACAAAACTATTTACAAGAAACTAAACGAAATAATATTAGTAATAAAAAAAAAATCCTTAAATATGGCTGAGACATCAGTAAACTGGATGAAATCAATGCGGGACTCTAAGAATATAAAACATCATTCATTCCGTGCACTCACGCAAACACACACACATTCAGACATAACAACAAATACGAAAACACACACGCAAAACGAAAACCGCCACGCATCCACCAGAGATCTAACATTACTGACCACCTAACGAGGAAGGGGATAGGGAATTAAACCAAAGAAAAATGGGAACAGAAATAAAAGTGGGCATTCTGAGCGAAGAGGGATATTTATTTCCGCTTCAATACAGAAAATGTGGCACAAGGCCAAAATGGGAAATGGGGATAAAAGACTCTCTTCAATCTTAACTTTAGCTAGCCACAAACACTGACCCACAATATTCGTAACACAAAAACTATCACATTCTTACTTACATTTCTTACTATATCCACCATAATACCTAATTGTCTCTATGGAAATCCTCATTGTCTGTAGGGGGAGGGGAATAAAACAACAATTTAAAAACTACCCCCAATGAGTATTTACAATATGAATACAAATCTATTTACAAGAAACGAAACAAAATAAAGTTAATAATAACCTCAGCCCCCCTCACCACCATCACCGCCGCCGCCGCCAATCCTTAAATGTGACAGAAACATAAGTTAACTGGACGAAATAAATGCAGGACTCTAATACAGTGTAACCCGGATATAAGAGACCCGGATATAAGAGAAACACGGATATAAGAGAGATTTTTCTCTGGTCCCAAATTAGAGCCTTTGTTAATGTATGTAAAATAGACCAAACCCGGATATAAGAGACTTCTTCTCCGGTGTCCGACAACTCTCTTATATCCGGGTTACACTGTAATATAAAGCATTCATTCATTCCAAGCACTCACTCCAAAACACACTCATTCAAACACAGCAACAAATACGAAAATCATGCCCGAAACGAAAGGCACCCCCGCATCCACCCGAGAACTGACATCACAGACCAACTAACGAGGGCGGAGATGAGGAATTAAATCAAAAAAAAAAAAAAAAATGGGGACAGAAATAAAAGGCGCCAATCTGAGCGAAGTTCTCATCCGAACAGTTGGCATCAAAGTACTATAGAAAAGTCAGGTGGGGCAGCATTATGGTGATGGGAAAATGACTGAAGCCGAGAGGCCAGATTAAGACCAGTTATATTGCTGATACTTCTTTGGGTTTTATCAAGGAGCACAAGATAAATAGCAGGAGCACCGAAGCAGCTGTGACTGCGTTATTCTTAGCATAGAAGACTTATACACACGTAAGATAAATTCTGGAAAGAAAAATTATGAGCGGTTACTCAGAGTGAAAGAGAATGAGAAGATCTTAGTGAGGAGAAGTGAGAAGAAAGGACAAAGAACTGGTTCGGGAAAACAGAAGATGGTGATAGACATTACATTTATATTTCTGAAGATTGCAGCTGACAGAGATAAAGAAATCGGAAGGAAGTTCCATAGACGAGTGCGAGAAAAGAAATTATTAAAATAGAACATGCGAATACATCAAGCTAGGTCAGCATTAAAAAGGGTGACGCTTAAATTAATGGAATCAAGGCACCAAGGAAGAAATCTCATCGGAATAATTTCCATGAAAATATTTGTAGAAAAGACAGATGAAAGCCACGTCACCCCAGTGAGAGAGTGACTGAAGCTGAGATGCCATTTCAGGGCCGATTACAGATCCTTATTTGCATATTGCTTTTTGAAGTTCTCTTGGTTTCTAAATAGACTTATTATTTTCATTTTATTTATGTCTCTGTCTGTCTCCTCTCTCTCTCTCTCTCTCTCTCTCTCTCTCTATATATATATATATATATATATATATATATATATATATATATATATATATATATATAGCTGAAGTTACCTGCTCAATGTTACAATTTGTGGGAAAAAATGATGCATTTCAATATTACTCAATGTACTTGCCGATGTGACCTCCATCTTCTGGCTTTCACCTTCTATATTTTGGATTGGTACCATTTCTTTTATCTAAATTTATATTTGATTTAAATCAAAGGGAATAACAATTCAGTGCGGGGCTTGTGCCTTAATGATACCTTTTGATCAAAATGAAATATACTTATCCAAGTACCCTGTGTAATGTAGTTTCAAAATATATATGATTATGGGTGTTTATCTCCAAAACCCTAGGCGGAGTTCCATAGCAAACAGACAGAGGCTACAACTCGCACGTTAAATAAGGAGTTACTTTTCAATCACCCTGTATATATATCTATATATAACTGGGTATTTGGGCAGCAATCCCTCTTTTATAAACGTTTCATTAAAAACACGGCTGACACGGTACTGCATTTAAGTTTTTCATTTAATTATTCATGTTCTTATAATTTTCTTCTGTTCTGGATGTAAATTATGTAGAAATTGTCCAAATGATTTTTTCTATGCGCAAGCTGTTACGGCTATACTTTTAGCCATTATCAAGGCTGGAATTTAAAAAAAAAAAAATTAACTGAATGTATGAATTGTTTTATGCATGTTCCAAACCTAGAAATGATGGAAGAATTATTAATTAAAAAGAAAAAGCCAACACTCGATAATATCAGCAACGAACACGGCCACAATGTTCTGACCGTGTTTGGAAAATAAAACATTGCTCTAATTTTATATATATATATATATATATATATATATATATATATATATATAACAATCTATACATTTAGTTATATTAAACAATACACGGACATGGCAATAACGATCGTCTGTTTTTGTTTGCATGGAAGATTTCCAAGCAAAGACAAACTCGTGCATCCGAAACGTTCGAAGCGAAAATCGCAACGCGGCTCATGACGTCACACATCATCATGTTCTATGAAAAGAATCCACTATTTTTGACGATTTTTTTTGACGACGATAATATTAAAAAAAAAAAACTGGCACTACTATAACTCATATTCCATGATAAATTATGCACTCGCCTTTGTAAACCAAATTTCACAAGATAAGGCCGCTCAATGTAGAGAGTTCAAGACAAAATGTTAACATTGAATGAGGCGTGCAATGACTGGAAAAGAATTTGATCGGAAGTGAAGAAATTGAACATAAGGTGGAAATATGACGATCAAACCTTTCCTTGATGAGATCAAAAATTGAAAACTCAGGAAAGCAGCAAGCGGGAATTTGTTACAAAGTGAATCTTCTTCGGTAAATATATATATATATATATATATATATATATATATATATATATATATATATATATATATATATATATATATATAAAGAACTTTTTTGAAGCCCGTGGGTGGGAGTGAGGGTAATTCAATTCCGTGAAATTGGTATGGTACATCCTAATGGAAATCATGTGACGTTTCTCATGCAAATAACGATAGACAGGCTTGAAAACTTTTTAAAATGGAACTGTCTTCTATCCAGAAGACCATGTAAATATTTCCGAAATCTATTAAAGCTAGGAAATGAGGACTGAGCAGCAATATTGATTTAAAGTTCAAAGAGCCACTCAAGGTAGAGCTTTACGGAGAAGAGGCACAGTTTATGCGTGGTAAATAAATTTTAACCCTATACTTGAACAGGTTAAGATTGTAGTGATCAGAGAAACACCCTCTTGGGAGTCGGTTCTACAAAGCAGCGGTACGTGAAAAGAATTTACTTGATTGGAACTTACATCTCACCAATAGAATACGAAGGGAATAGGTGCTTCGCTATAATATGCTTGGTATGGCGGGATGCTTGGTATGGAGGAATGCTTGGTATGGCCGGATGCTTGGTATGGAGGAATGCTTGGTATGGCCGGATGCTTGGTATGGTGGGATGCTTGGTATGGCTGAATGCTTGGTATGGAGGAATGCTTGGTATGGCGGGATGCTTGGTATGGCGAGATGCTTGGTATGGCCTGATGCTTGGTATGGAGGAAAGCTTGGTATGGCCGGATGCTTGGTATGGCGGGGTGTTTGGTATAACCGGTTGCTTGGTATGGCGAGATGATTGGTATGGCCGAATGCTTGGTATGGCTGGAGGATTTGTACGGACAGATGCTTGGTATGGCCGGATGCTTGGTATGGCACAGCAGAAGGAGTCAGATACTTCATTGAATAATAGGTCGGATCTATTAAAGAAGAGATCACCTGGAAGGCTCCAATTATCTTGATGTTTGGTATTGCATCCATAAACGGTCGAATCGCTTGCAGGGTGGAGGATGTTCCTATGTCGATCGTTAACAAACCGGGGCCTTGACCCCTGCGTTGATCTCATGAACATCAGACGATTGACCATACCTAAGTGAATGTTCAAGAATCGGTCGAAATCACACACACACACACACACACACACACACACACACACACACACACACACACACACACACACACACAAACTACATACAAATCCAGGTGGCAAATGAATTCAACAATTATCTCCCTTCCTCAATCTCAAGTACGCAACTCATCATTTTGAACGAGCCTACCGTGAATTTATACACCTGACCCAGTCAACGCTCAGACCTTGAGCGCCCAGAACCAGCCAATAAAAATGGCTACAAGCGACAGCACCAGTTCCGTCCACCCGAAGTGCTGCCCAATTCCATCTTCCCTTCGATCCACAATTCATTGCAAAACATACACTCGACGTCCTTTTTGGATCGCCAAGGTAATCCTCCACTACAGTGAACAACATATTTGCACAGCTGTCTATGTGTAATTGTTTTAAAGCTTAAATTTACAAGACAGTTATTTCTCTGTTTATCTGTTAGATTTCGATAAAGCAGAGATCAGCTGTAAGTCCATCTTGGTGTTTGAAGTGTGTCCATCGAAAGTGGGATCATTTGCATCGATTT